TGCAGGCGACTCGACGGCACATAACAACAACAACAACATGAAAATTCCAAGTGTAGTTTATTGAGCAAAGCCGTTTAATACTTCACATAGCTAACAAACAAGATGACCCATTATTAGTATTCTGTCAAACTCTGAAGCAGCTTTCTTCTTTTACTCAACACAGCTCTGGCTTATTCCTTACTCCCAAACAGATTCCTCATTCCTTTTTCTTAAAAAAAATCGCCAAATATTATGACTATATACATGAGCTTCACCTAATGGATGTACATGAAAAAGAATGACTAAATCTTTGGAGGGAACTGTTGGAGAAGCTTATTACCAGCAGTCAAAATCAAGCCAGGTGCTGATGAAGGAACAGACCATTGATAACTCATGTGTAAGTTCAAATTGAAGTTGGAGAAATTAAAAACAAGTCCACAGAACCAAAGTATGACACTGGGTCTATTCCACCAGAATTTTAAAATCATCTCCAAAATAGGTTTGAAGAATTGAACACGAATGAACGAAGACCAGATGAGTTATGAAATGACATCCACAACGTCATCCATGAAGAGAGTAAAAAGTCATTACACAGACAGAGAAGTGGAGAAAAGATGTCAAACTAGATGTCAGAAGAGACTCTGAAAATTGCACAAGAGCATCAGAAAGTCAAAACAAAGGGAAGAGATGGTGAAGTAAAAGAGATGGACAGATTGCAAAGGGCTGCTCAATAAGACAAAGCCAAGTATTATACTGGGATGGGCAAAGAGCTAGAATAGGAGAATAAAAAAAGAAAGAACTCATTCAGCACTTCTAAAGCTGAAAGAATTGAAAAACAAAATCAAGCTTTGAGTTACAATACTGAAGATTATGTGAGAAAACAAATGATTCAAGAAGCATCAAAAGAAAGTGAAAGTTATGCACAGTCACTGTCCAAAAAAGAACTGGTCGACATTGAAAAATTTCAGGAAGTATCACATGATAAGGAGCCAAGGTGATGAGGGAGAAAGCTCAAGCTTCACTGAAAGAACTGGCCAAAACCAATGTTCTAGGAATCAATGGGATACTAACTGATGTGTTTCAAAAGATGTGGCCTTTGATGTGCTAACCAGGCTGTGCCAGAAATTTGGAAGGCAGTTACGTGCCTAACTGCTTGGAAGAAATTAACGTGTTCCCATTTCTAAGAAAGGTGATTTAACAGAATATAGACATTATTAAACAATATCATGTGCAACCAAAATTTCTTGAAGATCATCTCTAACAGCTAGACCAGACTGACTGAGAACTGACAGTTCATGCTGGATTTAGAAGCAGCTGTAGCACCAGGGGTATCACTGCTGATGTCATCTGAATTCTGGTTGAAAGCAGAGAACACAAGAAGAATGTCTATTTATGTTTTACTGACTGTGTGGATCATAACAAGATATGGCTATCACTAAGAATAGTAATCCCCAAACAATTATGCTCATACAAAACCTATACTTATATCAAGAAATTGTTGTTCAACAGAGCAAGGGAACACTGAATGGATTAAAATTGAGGGAAATGTTGCTGCTGCTGTTGTGACTAACCCATAGGTTAGGATCTCCAGTGGGTTTTCAGAGGCAGTTAATTGCACGGAAAGAGATTGTTCATCCTTCTCCCTGAGACTGCAGTGCATCTTCTTGCCACTAGGACACGAGAGTAAAAATATGTGTCAGGGATACAACCTTTCTCCATGCCTATTCAATCTGAATGCTGAAAATCATTACAGGAGCTGGACTTTATGAAGAAGAGTGTGGCATCAGGCTTAGATGAAGATTC